CCTGTGACTGTTTAATCAGGAGCATGGTGCCTTTGCTGGTTACTCTCATCTTTTGTCAAGAACAACTCTAGGAAAATTTTTAGAATGCTTCAGCGTAAATTCAGTTTGAATTCAGTGAGTCTATCCTTCAGCTGTCCATAAATGCTTCCTTTTTTTTGTGTTAAGCTATATAATTTCTGCCTGAATCTGCCTCCAACCTACTGCAATGCCAGCTTTTTGTGCACGGGGCTATTTCTTGACTAAAAGATGTTAACACAAGATAGTAGTTTTTCATATCAAACTGAAAGTCTATATTCTAACCTACTCAGGGTAAATAAAACACAAACCCCCCCTTCCACCAAAAAGCCTGTAATGTTGCAATAAATGCAGTCTCATTCTAAATGGTTTATTTATGCTGCATTATTTTAAAAGATGTAATTTTATAGTGTTTTATCCATCATTCTGGCTTTGGCTGTCAGTCTTTTTGTGTTAAAGAATATTAAATAGTCTTAATTCAGTTTACAGTGTTGTCATTAGTGAGATACAAAGATAACAACTGTAAGCCAATTAATGTGGAGTGTCTCTGCACACTAGATTTAGGAATGCAAACTCCTAGAAGATAGAGGTCTTTCACTCTTTTTGTTTGATCAGAGCTGCTCTGTACCTGCTGGGGGGAGAAGCATAGGAGTGCAGCCAGACTTCCCCAGGATGCCAGATGATTAGCAGGTTTTTTAACCTCTTGTGACGTGCTCTGTTTAGCCTTACCACCACCACTGTCGCAGTCTTAGCTGAGACCGTGGCTTACGCCATCTCCCGTGCTATTGCCGTGCAAATCCCCTACCACAGCGCCGATGGAAATGGGCTGGAGGGAACTGTCTTTTCATGTCTTTGACAACTTGCTTCCCGTTGCTGGGTGCAGAAAACTGGGTCCTGTTGGTGCGAACATGAGGGAGGAGAGGCTGTGCAAAGAATGCTTTGTGGCTGGGAGATGTCGTGTCACTCTGCTAGGGCAGAGTGCTCCGTTTCGGTAATTGCAGTGACGAGCCTGGGGACACCAGCTGAACTGGAAACATGCTGATTGCATTTCGTGTCTGTGTGTGGTGATGTGTGGTGCAGTGCCATCGCAGCAGGGATGTGGGCCCTGCAGCAATAAGGTTTGCATCCACGAAACGTGGATTAACAGTGGTTTACGTTTTGTTCTTGTAACGGTAATCCCTAGAGGGCAGCGAGATGGTGGCCCCTTTGCTTTTCTCCTGCAGCTTCATTTTGCAATGCAGTTTGGTTGTGTGGCAGCAAGGACTGCTTTGGACACGAAGGAAACAGTCTTAGGGCTGTGTGGCTGGGACCATCCTCGCAGGGATGAGTCTCCTGCACAGAGCTCGGCTCGGGCGCCTGGGGCTGCGTGGGGTTCCCCGGGAGCACAGCCCGCTGCAAGGGGCCTCATGCCTCCCCGTGGTATGGTGCAAGGGTGAGCGGATGTATGCGTGTGTGTGAGAGGGTCTGCTAACGCAGGAGATCCCCCTGGAGCTGCGGGATTTTCTCTGATGGGGACAAGGGGACCAGGTGTGGCCTGAAATGTGACAGCCGGGGGATTCAGCAGCCTCTTCTGGGCCTTGCCGACCTTCAGGGAAGTGTTTTTTTCATGCTACTTTTGCTGCTCGTGACTTAGTCCACCTAAAAGACACTTCTGGTTGGACTAGATAGCAAACTCCTTTGTGACAGAAATGAATAGAATAATCTACTGAAGGCTTTGAAATTGGAAGCTGATTTGGAAGCGTGGTGATTGGCAGCAGTGAGGTACCGCACGTGTCCTTTTGAGTGGGTGTCGGGGGTTAACCTCTCTGCTGTTTTCTCTTCACAACTGCTGTTTTCCCTTTGTGTGTTCTAGGAAAAGCAATGTGTTCCATGTTTGTGCTAACTTCTAAGTACATTAGGTTAGCCGTTACGCTCTTGTACGTGCATCAGGCAGGCTGCAATTTAGGTGAAAGTAATTAGAGCTTGTAATGAGGCGAGAGCAGCCTGATTCTGTGAATGCACAGGCCGCTGCACCAGGGACTGTGCATCCCACCCGGTTGTGCTGTACAGATGTGTACTTTTATTGTTTAATCATTGGTTCGCTTTCCAGAGTGTTCCGTGCTGCGTGTATTTGATGTGTTTCACAGTGGACATTTACATCATCCCCAGGGCCGTGGGACTGAATGCTGTGCTGCCGGGGTGGTCATCAGCACGCGTGGATGGGAGGAGATCCGCGAGCAGCTGGCAAGAGAGGGCAGTCACAGCAAAGCCCTGAGATTTCCGAGGGACAAGAGAATTTTCTGTCCTCTTCCGCTTGTTCCCCCAGCATTTGGCATACTCACAGTAACATTTTTAACAAAGGGGGGAAGTTTCAGCCACTGTAGATCTGGCAAGATGTTGGATTCCCAGAAAGGGGCATGTTCTGTTGATATGCTGGAGCCTCTGAGAGCAGCATGCCCTCCCTCTGCAAAAGGCAAATTTCACAAACCCCTCTAATGATCAGAGAGCAGAACTGCACCGCTCTGGGTCGTTGTGTTAAAGGTTTGGCTGTTTTGTGGCTTGCGGGGATTTACTTGGTCACTTACGGTTTCTAGATGGGTGCAGAAGCTTAAACATGTAGAATGGGTCTAATGACCAGCGTCGGTAGCTCTAGTCACCACGCAGTGACCCAGGCAAACAGACTTGGCGTGCAGTTGAAGGCTGCGGGAGTTGCTTTTCATGCTTGTAGGTGATAGAGGGATGGAAAATCAGCACTGTGTAAATGCTGGTACTGAATTGTATAGAACAAAGTACGAATTGGGCACTTCCATAATGCTGACTGTGTCCAGAAAGATGAATTTGCAGAACCTCATACTGGTGTCTAAAATGCACTTTAGGTTATTCTATCTTTAACCCAATTGCTGCAATTTCTTTTGTATATACTTTCACAAAGTTTATTTTTGCTCTGAGTAAAAGTTAACAGGGGTGTGCAAAGATGAGCACTTAACTTGGTGCAATACTTGTAGCTAAAGATCTTTGTCCCGTGTGGTCAGTCTGTCTGTGTCTGTCTAACTGAACGAATATAGTAACTAGCTCAGTGACATGCTGCCCTTCCCTGTCTGGACCCAAGAGAAATTATGCATCATTAGCAAACGTCCAATCTATGCAAATATTCCGCGGAGAGCACTGTGCTTTAGCAGGCCTTTTCTCTCGCGCTTTCTGGTGGGCTGCTTGTCACTTCTGTTGGACACAGCTGTGTCCATTGGTGGCTGTCCTTTCTCCCTTGTCCTCCGCTCTGTTCTGCCACACAAGTATGACAGAAGTGACAAGCTGTTTGCAAACAGGCATGTTGCACCTTTAAAATTTGTCTTTGCGATCGTTTTTGATGTCATGTTATCTGCCTTACTTCATGGAGGATGGCGCTTCTGCAGTCATCCAAGATGCTGTTTTTGCAACTGCAGCAACATTGTTGAACTGTTTACAGTACTCTTGTGCACCCCTTATAAATAAGGCTGGGAGAACGAACGAAGGGCTGGGGGAGAGCGGTTAAGGTGTGACTGCCGTTGAGTTGATGGGAGGTGAAAAGCTGTTCCTGGTTTTGCCAGCTGGTGACTGAAATGAGAGGCAGCCGCGTTGACGAGGTGTTGCAGACGGGATCTTGGTGCCACGTGCTTTGTTCTGCTGCTGGCTGGCTGTGAGACCTTGGGCAATGGCCTGGCCTCTCGGTGCCCTCCCTGTGCAATGGGGACAGTGAGACTTGTCTTTTTGAAATGCTTGGAGATCTGGGGGTGAAGTGTCCTTGGCGTAAGTGATCTGAGCTACCTGGGCAGAACTGTTAGAGTCAACCTGGACTGTAAGGCAAAAAAAAAAAGCATGTCTTTAATAAACCCTACAAATTTCTGAGTGCATAGTTTTTAATTGGTACATTATTTTTTCCGTAACATATTTTGGAAACAATGTCAAGTTTTTATAAATGTTATCTGTAGTTGATACTCACGGGCAGGGCTGAACTTTTAACTTTTTTGCGTCTTGTCTTGATATATATCTCATGTTCTAGAAGTTGGATTCTGTGTCTGCACTGAGAAATGCAAATTAAACTGGATATTTATGTAGTAGTGTACATAGTCAAAGTGTGTGTGTTCTTGGAACTAGTTTAAAAATCCCACACCATGCTTTTGGTGGTGTGCAAGCTGGCCAAAATTTGGTTCATTATGCAGTGTACACTTTCTCAAATAAATGCAGTTTCTACTTTTTCTTACAAGAAATTTTTTTCATATGATCTTTTTCAGCAAAATCGAGGGTATGTTTTTGCAGTACCGTAGTTCCAGTAGCTGGTATTTCTTGCTGTGTAGCTTTGTGTCCTTCCACTTGCTTACCAAACCGGAGCTTTCTGTCTGACCCTTGTTTGGCGAGGGAGTTGCAGTTGTGTTTCGCAGCGAGCAGCAGCAGCGTGGCGGGCAGGGACGCGCAGACCTTGAGCCTGGGCGGTTCCTGGCGCCGTCCAGCACCGACAGCTGTGTCACGGTCGAACCCGGGGGGCTGGGAGAGCCCTGGGCCGTCTCCTGACGGCTTCTGTTCCGTTTGACGCGTACGGGGAGCTGGGCAGCGGTCTTGGAGATGATGAAACAAAAGAACCCCAGTTTTTCCAGAATGTGTGTATGGTATTAAAGGAATTTATTTAATTATGAAACATGGAAACAAATGTGCTTACATTGAGCAATGTGAAGATGTTAGTTACAGGTACAGTACTTCCAAAGGAAGAGCATCTCCAAAACCCAAAAAAGAGTAAATATGAATTTGTATTTTTTGAAGAATGTAAAATGTGAAATAATGGTGTTTGCTTAATTGCTCATTTTGTATGAAGTTAATATTGTACTTTGAAATATCTGCAAAGAAGTGGAAATTAACTTTTTTGGAATTGAAAGCAATATTAATACTAATGGAATCCTAATTAAATGCTTATTTAAACATTGTGTTACAATAGTTTTTCCTCGGAGTATGTATGAATTACCTGGGAGATGAGCGCGATGCTCCTTCCCGTGGGGCCGATCGGCGCAGGAAGGCGTTTCCAGACCCCAGCGGACGACAGCGGTGGCTGCAGCAGCCTCCTCCCTCCCCCACCAGCAGTGACCTTCATCACCGGACTTCGTCTCCTCACGGTCACTCGGGTGCGGGTAAGACTCAGAGTGGATGCTGTCAATCTACAACTCTTTGTTTTTGAAAAGGGGAAGCGCTGGCGTAGTCCCTGGCGTGCAGCACCCGCTGTGTTCAGTGCAGGCGCCCGAGGTCGAGCAGGGGCGCAGGGCCGGTGGCCGTGCTCTCGGGGGGAGCGAGGGAGGCAGAATTTCCCGGGGTGCAGATGGATCCCTGGGCTGAAGGTTTTGGGTACCGAGCGCTTTCCAAGAATGAGAAGGGGAGCTTTAGGGAAAGCGAGGGGCAGTAAGGAAGAGGGACTGAACCAAACGTCGTGGTAGCAAGGCCTTTCCCTGTGCCCAGCC